GAGAACAAAACTCGACGCTTTATATTTAATCATATATAACGAAATAAACAAAAAATTAATCGCATAATATATCCAATTCTGGTTTCTTCTTTCAACTTAAATAATTGTGTGATTCAAATTATCATTATTAATTCAAACTACTTTTCTTAAAAGTAAGAAACAATATATGTATTCCTCCCGTCATCTTCAAAAATTGTTAATCTTTTTAATTTTATATATGTTGTAATATTCTATAAAAAAAATGTATAATATAATTTATTATTTACCTAAATCGTAGACTCGTGCTCCCGTAAATCCCACTAATGACTGCAGAATCGACAGATTTTTTATACCGTAAAACGTAATCACTGAATTTTCTGAAAAAAAACGAATAAAATTTCAAAAATTAGTAATTAATATAACAAAGCTAATAAAGCTAAAAAAGCTAAATAAAGTTATAAATATAATTTTAAAACTGATAAAATAAAAGCTTTTCCTTCAATCTAACGTTACAGTTACGGCTAAAGCTAAATTAATATAATTAACAATTAACTAATTAATAATTAAAAGCAATTTTCAATTTTAAAATACTTTATACAGAAGAAAAGTACATGTAAAATTGATTCCAAATAAATGAATATATTCAAATTAATAATCAATAATGAGAAGCAAACTCTGTACAAAGAGATTTTTATTTTGTGCCTCATATAATTTCGCAATCAAAAATTTCAATAGACTAAAAAAAAATGAAAACTTTTCATGGAAGTGTTGTTTCGATAATTCAATTTCGAGTTTAATTAATAAAATACGATATTGTTCCAGTATTTTATCAATCGTTCCAGTATTTTATCAATAGTTCATGTTCAAATTTCTATTTTCTGACTTTAATATAAAATTCGGGTGTATATTGTGTGCGATCATCCTCCCGACTGTTTCCGTATTATTAGATACCTTGTGCATTATTCCCGCAACAAAACTGCTGCATTAATTGCCGTAGCGACATTAATCCGGTTTGCTGTTCATGGAAACCATTCGGTTGTTATTTCGTGGCTATGCGCGAATATTGGCTCGCGCGCGCAGAATATCAAATTACGAGTGCGAATAATTAATCGAGCGGTGGAGTCGCGCATCGTTCATGACCGCGGAAACCTGGCTTTTCGCGACTCCCGCGTAAATTTAGGAACTAAAGGCTAGATAATCGAGCGATAAGCTCAAAAAAGTCAACATTTTGATAACATCGGGCAATTTTGATCATATATTTTTAGCGTTTTTTATATTTTATATCGCGCCTGCAATATTGTTAAAAATGGCATTCGTAAATTTCCCAAAGCGATATTCTCTCTCCGAAATGGCCGGTTTCGTATGACAAACGATATTGTTCGCGACTCTATTATTCGCAAAACTAAAACGAAACCGACCACAACTGCTTTCAATCAATCGTCCTCCCGGCGTTATCTAGATTACAGCCAAGTTTTCGTTTCATCAATACCGCGAGAACCGTAAACGAAAGACCACGACAAACGAATTTGTAAGAGCAAAAAGCGATTCTAAGAAAATATATCTTTCTAAATATAAATATTTATTCCAAGAAGAATGACAAAATAATAAAATCAATGCACAACACATGTATAATTTTTATTTCTGATTATTAAGCTATATGTCAAGTATTGATGCGATAGTGATAGAATACCCCGTATGCGCCGAACTGGCACCATCCAAAAGGGCGATCATCGTCACGGAACACAAAAGTCACCCTCATCACAGTCGCGTAACAGCTTTTACGATGCTCGGAGAAAGGAAAGAAAGAAATGATGTGACGTCATGGCGGAAATAGAAATTAGGGAGCTCACGGAGCGAATCACCCCAGAACTTGTCTCCTAAACTACTGCCGTTCTTAAATCTTTGCAGGAACGATAGCGCGGTTCGTAAACGTTAATGCAGTTAAAGCGTTTTGGTCGTTGAGAGAGTAAATGAAAGTGGAGCATCTGTCTGTGTGCGTATATATAACACACACTTGCTTCAAAAGTGAGTTTCTGATTTATGATATCGCCCGTTCTAGAACGAGTTTTTTCCGAACATTAATATCGATTGATGATGCAGGACCATCGCGCGATTCACTGCCGATGTCTCTTAAATCGGTTTAAATATATCGAGGCGACACATGAAGTGTTCAATCACTAGAGACTTGTGTCAAAAAAAGCTGACAAATGTTATGCTACAGCATTCATGTATTGCTGAATGCAGTGTCGTTTCATATTAATTTGTTTTATGGGATACCCTATATAGCAAAATCATTGTATATATGTTGCGTTTTAAAACAGATATTCTAAAAAATTGTGCTCCATAATATTTTTTAAATAAATAACTTTCTGTTTTAATAGAGTCGTATGTTCTAATATACACAGAATATCGCATTTAACACAACTGCATAAATTTTATATTTAATTCTGTTTCAACATTTTCTTAAAGAAATCTTAATAAATTTACAACATAAATAAATGTATTATTTATTTATAAATTATTTTACTAAGGCTGGGTTGTTCCAACCTCTAGGTAAACTTACCTGACGGTTAAAAGCATACATTAGTGTGCTAGAGGTTGGAACAATCCGGCCTAAATGTTTAAAATATATGATATATAGTATAATAAAAATTTTTTCTGTTTCAATAATTTCTTTTCTTCTTTTTTAATTCTCAGTTTATTCGACAATATTTGATAAAAGTTAAAAAAGCCCTGGAAAAGTGCATTATTATTATATATATTCCAAATATCGCATACATTGTCAATTCATTTATGCAACGCTTGTTTAATCAAATTGCATGTACACATAAATATGCGCAACTACATTAAAGTGAATTAGCCAAGCTATCAAACAATGTTTCATATTTGATATCTTAAAATACTATAATGCGCTACGAATGGTTTTTCCATTCAATTATCTTTTTGATTGTTATTATCGGCATTAATTCCAATAAATTATACAATATGATGTATATGTTTATGTAAATAAATATTGTATCAAAATATTGTCAATAAAAAACAATGAAAAAACATTGATTTCTCAGGGCGTGTACCCGCGCTTTTTCGGGAATTCAAATAAAATTCTACTTTCAGCAGCCAAAAGAAATAGTTTAAAACTAAAGTTTTATCAAAACATAAAGTTCTTAAAATTTATTAAAGAATAATGTTGTCAAATTCTTTTCATAAAGTTTAATACACCAAAATTCTTTAACTTTCTATCTTTAATTATTTTGATACGTGTCCCAATATTTATTATTAATGAAAAATATAGATTGACAAAAAATTGTATAATAACATAAACACCCAATATAACTGTTGTAAGACAAGATCGGAGCATGTCATGTCGGCGATCGGTAAATTCTCAACGGTGACTTATAACGTCTACTAGCATCGCGGCGCCGTTTTCTTCTTCGCTAGTTCTCCTTGTCAAGAAATCGAGCTTTGTCGCTAAATCGAATTCGACGAACGCGACTCGCAGTGTTATAAACTGCCGAGTCAGTTCTCTGAGGGAATATCTTTTCGACAATTTGTATTCTTCTTACTTCGACCAGTATATCAAACTAATTTTGATAAACTAAATTTTTAAAATTAAAAAAAAATTATTTTCTTTTTAAGTAAACAAATACACACCAATTTTTAAACAATTAATTTTATTTGGTAACAAAATAAACTATATTATTAGGTTAATTATATAGTTTACTTTGTTACTAAATAAAATTGATTATATCTCATTTAAATTATTTTCTTCAAAAATTATAATTAATTTTCTTTGTATTTATATATGTATATTTTTTTATTTTATTACCATCCAAAAAATTATCACCCAAAGAAGAAAGGAAAAAAAGAATATAATAAGACGCGTCTCTGTTCTGTGAAAAGGAGAAATTTTAGTAATCTCTATTATAAAAGGCACGAAATGAATTCTCATGCATCCCATGGAGAATCTTTCGCTTCTTCAATAACTAACTGTCTGAATCGGTTGAGATCGGCCCGAGAGAACTATGGCGAGAGCCGTAGAATTCTAAGCAGTCTCTTAAATTTATTCAGCTTACCTTGTAGATAACAGGCAAGTTATAAAGTTATCGAATTATAACCGGGGAATAACGTTTACACTAATACTACTACTAGAAACGAAACGAAGTTTTCAGAAACGATATAATCGAGGGACGATTCACCCATGAGGGAATGTAAGTAGGCGATAATAGAGGAGGCAAATGGGAGAGCAAGCTCCGCAGAGAATAAAGGATTCTCCGAAACTAGTCTTATTAAGGGTTTCGCAGCAAAATTTTCATATATAATTCATCGCGTTAATTCCCGAAGGAGAGAAGAGAGAAAGTAATGAAGAAGTAAATTTGCTTAAAAGAAACTTTGTTTTGTTTTAAAAGAACTTTGTCTTATATTATCGTAATGTTTTATTTAAGAAAGGAAAACGAACAGATCATAATTTCTAATAAATTTTTAACAAACTTTAAATTTTTAGTTGAAAAAGATTACTTAAAGATACACGAATATACATATTTTATAAAACAATTCTGCACAATTTATTATTATATAATAGTACTTTTTTATATTTTATTTTGTTCAATAAAAACATAAAAATATTTTGATCATACAGCTTTCAGCATGATAAGTAATTAATATAACAAAGCTAATAAATCTAAAAAAGCTAAATAAAGTTATAAATATAATTTTAAAACTGATAAAATAAAAGCTTTTCCTTCAATCTAACGTTACAGTTACGGCTAAAGCTAAATTAATATAATTAACAATTAACTAATTAATAATTAAAAGCAATTTTCAATTTTAAAATACTTTATACAGAAGAAAAGTACATGTAAAATTGATTCCAAATAAATGAATATATTCAAATTAATAATCAATAATGAGAAGCAAACTCTGTACAAAGAGATTTTTATTTTGTGCCTCATATAATTTCGCAATCAAAAATTTCAATAGACTAAAAAAAAATGAAAACTTTTCATGGAAGTGTTGTTTCGATAATTCAATTTCGAGTTTAATTAATAAAATACGATATTGTTCCAGTATTTTATCAATCGTTCCAGTATTTTATCAATAGTTCATGTTCAAATTTCTATTTTCTGACTTTAATATAAAATTCGGGTGTATATTGTGTGCGATCATCCTCCCGACTGTTTCCGTATTATTAGATACCTTGTGCATTATTCCCGCAACAAAACTGCTGCATTAATTGCCGTAGCGACATTAATCCGGTTTGCTGTTCATGGAAACCATTCGGTTGTTATTTCGTGGCTATGCGCGAATATTGGCTCGCGCGCGCAGAATATCAAATTACGAGTGCGAATAATTAATCGAGCGGTGGAGTCGCGCATCGTTC